CACCATTATGAAATTCCAATTTTGGGCGAAAACGTGAAAACTTTGAGCCATGATGGGTGTTCCACTATCTGTAGCCCCCTTCTGGTATTCCATACCTTGCAAACAATTCTTTGCAAAATATTATCAGGCTTTCACTTGTACATTTTACTATATTTGTTCACTTCTAAAAATTACGTCTGATGCATCTGCTCTTTGACTAGAGAAATTAATTAATTTAATTGATGTCTGTCGTAATGAAGCTGGAATCACAACTTGTTCTCCTTTGAGAAGGATCCTATCCTCTACACTTAGTTCATCACGAATTTGCCAATATTGTTTGGGATCTTTGGGCAATTGCTTCCTCGTAATAGGCCATCAAGACCTGTTGATCATCAGCTTAAAGCCACACGATCGATATAAATATTCTACTAGAGTTTAAATAATCCTAGAATCATATTACCAACCTCATTGTATGCCGCCTTTGGATCTTGAATAACGCCATTTCAATATCAATTACATCAACCATCTACGAGACGGAGCTTATAAATCTGAAGGTAAATAAGTCAAAGTACACTGTATGGTAAATGTGTACTTTGCCTAGGCAATAACTCAGCTGTAGTCATATTGCGTAATAACCTTTGTAGGCTCCAGTGTGTTGAAGATTCTTGCGTGGAAATAAACTACATATCAGCCTTACTATCGCATATCACATGAGTGCAATCTAATAAAGCTTATAGTAGATTTATTTATCAAATATTTTTTGCTCCCATTCTACTATATATTTCACTTAGTCCGTATATGTTATGTTAAATTTCACTTCAGACTAGATGAATGAATAGTTTTTTTTTGTTTTGTTTTTTTTTTTTTTTGTAGCAGGTAATGGCATGTGAGACTACCCTTCAACCAATAGATTCCGGTGTATCAAGTTGTTTACATATTCAACAACAATAATCATAGTATTGACATTTGTGTAATTCCAAGCGAGGTCGTTATCGAGCTCAGATGTTGCATTCCGCTTAAATAGGTAGAATTCTTCAAATGTATTCTTTGCCTTTGTCTTAAAGTAAAAGAATATGATGGACAAATTATTGCAATAAAGGTCATTTTTATTACAAAAACATTTAGAGGTTAAAATACGAGAGATGTGGCCATCAGACAAATTATAGTGTTTTAAGAGAGATGTTTCAAAGCGACCTGTAATTTTAACAGTAACTACTAGCCATACCATGTCATGGTATTCCCTTGGCAACCTCGTTGTTATTAACAGGTCATATGAATCAAACAGTCTAAACTGTGCTGCAAACTACAATTATAAAGGCCAACCTTCTGTCCCATTTAAACTGCACTAACCCAATTCTCCAAGTCAAATATTGACTATTCAACTTAATAGCTTTCTATCTTGTCTTTATTAGCAAAAACAACCATCAACTAGGAATAACCTACTTCTTCGAGTGTCAAACTGACACATTATTGTATCTTTATTAAAATCACCTTTTAATAAGGTATAGGCCTATACTTACCTTATTGAACGAGCAGATGTAGTATATCAGCCAGGTGTGTATTATCATAGCTCAAAGGAGGCTTTAATGTTATTTAACAAAAAATTCATAAATAAACTAGCACATAGCTTATGGTTCGTTAAAACTACACGATTCTAATTATAGACAATTTTGAATCCTGAATTCTTTCTTAATGTTTGTTGAAAATGTTTATTTGAGATCAAAAGCGTGGCATATTAGCTACATTCCTTGCAATTCGTATTGATGGTTTTTTTATGGTTTAGCAAAGATCTTGAAAATTTTTTAATAACTATTCTTAAAAGTAGGCTTTTAGGGAGATATATTTTAGTAACTTTTGTGCACATCATAATCAAAATTCAAAGCTTTGCAAGATTTTTTTTCATTACATGTACTAAACATAAATGTAAAAAATGTCCCCATAATTTTTTAATCATAATTTGTAACATAGAACTTTTCAGATTTCAAGAAAGACTAAAATTTTAAAATACGAATAGTATACTATACAAAATCAAAAATAAATAATGAAAAATATGTTTTTACTAAACGATTGATTTTAAACTGAAGAGTGTGTGAAATTTCTATGGGTTATGTGGTGCCGAGTAAGGTACAAAAGGACAGTTAGTTGGGTAAAGTATTTGAGTAGAGCTGGGACCCCATTTGTGTGTGACCACTTTATGCATCCCTTGGTCGTGTTATATCACCCAACCCACCTGGGTCGACCTTCCGTTCACCCCGACCCTCAACCAGTAACTCAACAATGTGAAGAAAAACTATAGAATGTGTCTCCACCTTTTACGACAGTAATAGCTAAAAACATACACAATCAAATTAGTTTAACCCATAATCAAAATTAAGTTAATCAAATCCTAAGAGGGTCAGTAGATTTTAAATGTTTCCTTACATCCCAGCGTTGGTTAAAATACTAAGCAGGTCTCTTTTAAAACGTAAAAAAATATATTTTGATAGTTAAAAGCGTCAACTTCTATTCTGTGAATTTTAGTTTATCCATAAAATTAAGATGTGTATTAAGCTATTTCAACCTCAGTGTGATGGTTACTAAATCTGAATTGATAGTGGTAAAAAAAAAGATAAGGTGAAGTTCAGTAAACGTATTATTTCTTAACATAAATAATTATCTAATTCTAACCTAAATTTAGACTGTTACAGATTGATGTTTTAATCACTGGTAAATGTCCTTGCACATGTCATCTGAATTCGTAACTTAAATTGTTGTAACGAAGGATGTCCTTAAAGTGGACGATATCGCAGTAAATGCTTTGATGGCAACAACAATGATGTTTCTGCTGTCAGTTCCTTGTGCACACTTCTGGGACTGATTGTCTCCAATAACGATTTTCTTCGATCACTCTCATTTTGCAAATGTATACGCTCTTAATATGAGGATATTTCTTTTATTTATTTTTAGCTTCTCCACTCTTGAATATAAAAATCAGTCATATAAGTTTGCAAAAATATGAACAATCAAATCATTAAAACACTGTGTTGAGATTTTTTTTCCTAAGAAATGAAATGGAGGTAATATATGAGAAATTTTTTGTTTTTACATAAACATTTTTATTTTTTAAATGTTCAAATCCATCTTTATGACATGTAATGTTAAAGCATATTACATATACATACCTATGACATGGTATGTATGTTAAAGTAAATCTCGAGCTAGTTAACGAAACGATTTTGTAAAACTTTATCCTTACGCTTCATTTTTACCCATAATACAATTTCCCAGAGATTGGCTGTTTACTTTCAGGACACCCTGTAACACAAAATTATACTTTGATTGTGCTGGCCGATATCAAAACTCACTTTCTTCTTTACTACCTGTTTCTGGCCAACAGTAAACTATCTAGTCCTACACTGCCAATAATTAAATTATTAATAAAAATAGCTATTTCTGCCATTATTAATTAACCATATTAAAATAACCAGGTCCTAAATTATTAACTGTAAAATAGAATTGTGAAATGAAAGAGTTTTTATTTCAACGTTCAATTTGTAATAAAATTGATGGCTGGGATATCAAAAGCAGAACGGCCGCCGCAGCGGCAGTTCCCAGAAATTAATATAAATGATGGAGCTGTCTCTATAACTGGAAGTATTGAACTCTAGAGTTCTTAATAGCACATTAAACGTTGTATTGCAATGTTTTAGATTTGTTTAACAATATTCATTTGTCTTCAAATATTCATCAGCGTTGCTATATACAGCATAAGATAATTCATTCAAGGAAACTGTTTAACTTTCTATCCTTATTAACCTTTTATAGTTGACTAACACCGCCTTCGCTGAATGGTATAATTATCTTTACATTTTCCATCTTTGAAAATAGTAACGATTTTTTATGGAACGTGATGTATTAAAAGAAAGAAGTAATTCAAGTCTATTGTACACGAATTACTAGTTGCTGAGATTCTGTATAGAATACGGACAATATTTGAGGCAAAATGAAAATATCAAATTATTAATCTTGCTTGTAACTTGGTTTGCATCAACGGGCATTATAAATCAGAAAACATAATTTTGCACAGCCAGGATTGCTCGGGTTTGTATGCTTTGTCGTTCATTAGTGATGGTTGACGTTTGTTTTGGAACGCAAATATTTGGCTCTCGCTAAAATGGCGATTGGTGTTTATTCCAATCATGGAGATTTTTTGTATTTCTGTGTGACATGATATTTTAAAATCTACTAGCCTTACCCATGCTACTGCCACAGTTGCTTGTTGAAAAACGTATTTAATAATTAATCCATGTAACTCCTACAGAAAATCTCAGTTTACTAAATATATTAAAAAAAAACCCCTATTTGACTTAAAGTCTAATAGAGCAGTTACGAACTAGCTTAGGCTGAAAGCTATATTTTATGAAGGGGTTTCGTGTATTTTTTTAAGCAACCATTTTTGTTTGTTTTTATATTTATGGCTTGTTAGTGGCACGTTTCAAGCAAAGCAAAGGGTACATACAACAGTTTACTGTAGGTACTATTAAATATTCGTATTATTTGCACTGGGACGCCCACCCACGATATCGCTGTTATGACTTTGACTCCGACTGCGACCCCAACTCACCAAGCTACTTCGCTGTTAGTCTTATGTTGCCTTTCATGTAGGCATTTCAGGAAATAGTTCACATTAATCACCTCATGATATCTTTTTTGGTCCTTAAGCCTAAATGTTTTGGATATTTTCTAATGTTGATTAAATCAGTTTCATAAGCGTGTATTTTATGGTCAAGATGAGTGAGAATTGTTGAATGAGTGAGATGACAGATGTGTTACTAACTAAGATCAGATACAGGACTATTTTCTCTTTTGAAAAAAAGTCTAGCCCCAGTTTTAATCCATCGAAAACTACAGAGTTTTCTGATAGTTGAATTAGTGTTCTTCTAATCACTAGGCGAGAAGTATCTACTCAGTTCTGACTTATACGTTTAACTGTGTGTCTAAGCTCTGAGCTTTATTCTGACATAGTATGTCTTTTTTTCTAGTAACGAGGATGACCCCCACAACCCGCCAACCAGAAGCCTCCACACCCCCTGACTCTGCTACCCCTACCAAGCCCGAGGAACCCGCCATACCTAAACCGTGAGTACCATATAATTGAAAAATGCTAAACAATCAGTTGCATATTTTCATAAATATACTCTTAAATAGATACAAATTAATCTATACTATTATAAAGAAGAGGTGGTATCTATGTGTCTGTGTGTCTTCCTGTGTGTTTGTATGAGATAAACTCAAAAACTATTAAACCAACTGGGTATTCAGTGTAGAAGTGAAAAAAACTAAAAAAAGGTCTTTCCCCCCCCCCCTCTCACGCTGAAGCAGCAGGGCTAGGGGTGGGGACTTTTAGTCTTTATCTTCTAACTACCCCTAACACATTCCCACAAAAATATTTCCCCCCTCCATGTCCTCTACAACCCCTTTATTGGCTGGACTATTATAATAGTAAGATGACAATTAATTACCGAAACAAAGACTTAATGCTAATGTCCATGGTCTGGCTCTCTTGAGACTTGGAATGAGAGGGTCATTCCCTCCGTCCCTCCGTAAAGATCAGCCTTCTGTCTCAAAACTTGTGCCATCTGGAACTGAGAATCACCATCGAGGGCATCTCCATCATCCAATTCTTGTTCGTTATACTCAAAATCGGCTATTGATGTGAGAGTGTGGTCCATGCAACGATATGTTGGGTTCATATACTCTGCATCCTCCACATTCATCAGAATACTGTAGGCATCCCGTGTATAAGGTGTTTTATATGTATACTGTAAATATCCCCGTGTATTTCTCTGCCTAACTCTAATGTATGTTGTTTGGACTTACCACTAAAGTCTTCCACAAAACCGTATATTAACCATAAATTAAGCATCACCTAGTTAAATTGTTTCTTTTCGTACACACGAGACAACTCGATAGCTGATTCGATATCGAATATAAATGTAGCATAATTATACGAACATATAATTTTTGTGGAATTCACTGATGCTATGAGTAAGTTTTTTTTTTAATTTTTGTTCAGCTAATTCTTACAACCATAAGATACAACTTTAAAACTGTTGAGAACGATGCAGACTGGTTCAACATTTCGGCACGCCAGGATGAGAGGAGGTCATGTCATGAGGGGGGGTGGTAGAGAGGGTAGGTATGAAGTGAGGGGGGGGAGCTGAGAAATCGATTGTATCATCTGTTGCTTTGCACGTGGCCTACACCTGAGATAGCCTACTTCCTCAACGAAACATTTCGGTCTAGAAGCAAAATATATGTAAAAGGAATATAAGGACTAAATAAATTAAAAGTTAATGAATTATGAAAAATAAATAAAATCCTATTTATTTTTTACTATCAACGGTTCCACCATTTTAAGTGACCTATTGAATCAATTGGAAGATATATTCAATTTTAAACTGCATTCAGCACAAACAATTTGTAAAATAAAAAGCAAGATAAGGCATATAAAATAAAATAGAAAATTGTAATCGTTAATTAGATACCCAGCCCAGTTCTCTTCAAGTATTCGTGGCCCATCTGTAGTATCTACATGATGATGCTAATGATATTCTTGCCATTCGCCTATTGGGTCTTATCTTATTCTAATAATCTAATCTAATAATCATTGGAAAACATTTGTTGTTAAAATTAAAATCAATCACCGTTTCACGCACTTTATTTATATTTTTCGTTTTGTATTACATCTTAAATGGATATTTATCTTTTAATCGTTACCATACGGTCCTTTATACATAATGATCAAGAAAAGTAATTTACCTGTGTATTTATGCCAAATTATCAATGCCACGTTGGATAAATTCATTAATTAACTTAACAAAACTTCAAAAGGAACTAGTTTTTCGGGTTTAAATCCTTTCCAACATAACTTCCTCAATCTAAATTGAAATTCCAAAATGAGTATGTAATAGCGTTTGAATAGTTGTATATGTGTAATCTAAATGTTTTACAAACTAATCGTATATATGTATTGCCTCTTTATGCACAATTGTAAGCTTAGATGTCTTCTTTCGTAAATTTTTTAACTATATTGCTCTTACATCGGCACTCATAATATCGCGATTACACCCTCCAACGTGGGCCTGTTGAAATGTAGGCTAGTCCCATTGTGGTGCAGAATAAAGTCTTGAAACTGTAATTTCACCTTTGTACTTAATAATTTTATTTTATTTTATGCAAAACTGCTCGAAATATTTACATTAATATTTGGTAGTAAAAATAGGCCTAATATCTTCCTAGAAAAAGAAATTATTTAATAAAAAATGAAAAATATATAAACTATATATGCATAGCTAATAAAATAATGTAGTATTTAGTCGTAAAATAATATGATCAAATTATGACGAAAACGTAACAGTGGTAAAGAAGTATCACCAGCAACAATATTTCTCCTCTGAAAATCGTAACAATTATAAAAAAAAATTACAAAGACTTCAAACTAAGACATTATTATTGCATTTGTAATAATAACTTTCTACTTAAACTCTTACCATTCATGTACATACAAGCTATTCTAGCACTTTTAAAACAAATGTAAAAGGTTCCTTCTTAAAAGAAATGGATTTGAAAGCTTTTAATTTCTTTTACCAGTAGGAGACAAAGCGCAAATGTTTCTCATAAAAGTGGTATAAGGCCAGAAATGATTATCGGGGAATGTATTATTTGGTTTTAAGAAGTTTAAAGTATTATTTTATTTCCATATGTTTCGCTTATGGTAAACAGCTGTTCACAGTTGATCTGTCAACTATCACCTGTTAGTCTTCTAATTAATTCCTCTACAAAAGTTGTCCATATCCTAAGACAACTCGGTGAAGACAACAGTTGGCGCTATCGATTTATTCCGTTTCTTTCTTCTCCCCCTTTCGTTTTCTCACCTAAAGAGTTTTGTGTCAAAGGTAAAGGTATTGAAATAAAGTATCCCCAACCAATAATAGATAGCTTTTTTGTTATCGCCGTAAACGCACTTTAAGTGATTTAATTTCTTACTTCCGAAAACTTGTATTGCTCTGTATTGAAATGGGCGTTATAGCGTAAAACTGTAAAGATACTCTATACGTATAGGCCTAATTTATGATAACCTTAAAAACTATAAAGACATTCGATTATCACGGCTGGTCCGTATTTATGTGAACATCAAAATATAGATTTAAGCTGGGACCGCGTCTCGTTGTCCCTCCGTCTAGTTGTACCTGCGTCTACTTGTACCTCGAGGCCTAGGGACAACTAGTCGTAGGTACAACTAGACGTAGGTACAAGTAGACGGTGGCTCACCCGACTAGTTGTACCTGCAGATTTTTAGGAGGTACAACTAGACGTAGGTACAAGTAGACGTAGGTACAACTAGACGTGTATCCCACCGACAAGTAGTATCACCTAGCTTGTACGGATGCGACCAGTTGTCCCTACGACTAGTAGTCCCTACGACTAGTGGTCCCTCCGTCTAGTAGTCCCTACGTCTAGTTGTACCTACGCGTATTTTGCGTCCTTATAGTCTAGTTGTATCTATCCTTCAATTCGTTACCCTGTTTAATTGATTACTGCACGAGTACTTTTTAATAATACCCTTAATTAAATCAGGAACTGCAGTGTTCCGAGTCGACTGAGTATGATTGGCAAATATTTTTCACCGCAATACGATGTTTTAGTAGTTTTACAGACGTTAATTGGAGGCTGAAAGCTACGCATTGCTGTCCAGGGTCGAAATGGCAGCGATAGTTGTGATTAAAATTTTCCAGCCCTAGTACCGAAAATCGCTTATTTAATTAAAACATTTATATATATATATATATATCATTAAATATACAAGCAGTATATCCATAATGAATTGCAATAGACCGCTGCCCAGCAATTATGTATTACTATTTTTGCTGATCCCTTTAAATATTTGTTCACATAACCTTAAAGTATTTGCATTGATTTGTGTGCATTTCTTATAGTTTACAATGGATTTCCCAATGAACAATGAACAATGAAGTGTACAATGAAGTTGAGGTCCAGCGGTTGAAAACTCGACAAAAACTATGCAATGTACTACACATACTTCTCCATTTAACATACACTGTAATGTTTCTCAAATAGCTGCAGACAAGCCAAATTTTCCTGGCTTTTGTAGCAAGTTGTTTATAATAAATTGTTATAAGATTGTATGACTTTTAAGGAAATCAAATAAATCCCTTAAACTGGTGACAAGTTGAAGGGGAGATACAACTAGCCGCAGGTTCAACTAGACGTAGGTACAAGTAGGCGTAGGTACAACTAGTCGTAGGTACAAGTAGTCGTAGGTACAAGTAGTCGTAGGTACAAGTAGTCGTAGGTACAAGTAGACGCAGACGTATGAGGTACAAGTAGACGGTGGCGTTCCCGACTAGTTGTACCTGTAGATTTTTAAGAGGTACAACTAGACGTAGAGACAACTAGACGTAGGTACAACTAGACGTCCGCACCATCGTCAAGTTGTCCCTACAGCTTTGGACGGGGTACAACTAGACGCCTGTCACCAAAATGCAGCAGGTACAACTAGACGCAGGTACAAGTAGACATCGCCCCTTTAAGCTATTTTCCTTTATGTTTACGGAACTAACTTTACTTTTTATGATAACTGTTAGACTTATTACAAAAAACTTATGTAATTAACGATCTTGTGTTTTTCCACGGTAAGAGATCTCCGGTCAGATAAGACTCCCTTTCTTATGTTCTTGAGCCTATAAGAAAGGAATGTGCCTAAAATATTGTAGCTTATGATCTTTTACATAAAAAAACATTTAACTAAGTCCATTGTTGTAAACAAAGTAGCGAGCAATGCAATTCAAAAGTAGCTAGACACAGAAGTGTCTTCAATTTTTAAGTTTGTCTTTCTCAACAAACAAACCGGGACATCCAAGTCGTGACTAAAACTTGGAGATTCAAACTTTGCAGATAGTCAACATATTGTCCCCAACGTAGTTACTTAAGTCTGCAGCCATTTTATTTTACTTCTTATTAGGTATATTATTTCTTCACTTAAACTATGATTTATTTCAAGTTTAAGTAAGTGACTAAAATTCCCTTCCAAAATATACATAACTTTCATCAAAACG